AATATTCAGATTAAAATCCTATGCAAGTTAACTCACAGATAAATCTATTAAGTTAAAGTGAACAAGGAAACAGGTACAGAATTGCAGCCTCAGCCTCTTTATATACACTAACAAAAATGAGATGCATATCTTATTACTTGGGATTCAAGATATTTACTGAATGAAATCAATTACCAAGCAACAATTAAAGGATATCACCATACTTTATCACAGGAATCAAATAGAATTCACACAGTAATAGTATTAAAGAGTCAGAAGTTGGAAATAGAAATTGTCACAATTTTCTTTAGTTTTATTATACAGCAGTAAATAGCTTCAAGTGATGGCCAAATCTTCCAGCTAGGAAGATCTGAAAAGATCTGTAACTTCCATCTGATCACACAGGGAGAGCTAATATAATCTGTGCATGCATGCAGCAGACATAAAACAATTGAACAGATGATGGCATCTCTCAAACATGTCAATTTTAGCCTAGGGTGAAATTATCTAATTTTAAACATTTAATTTGTGGCCGGATTTTGGATGGAACAAAATAAGAATAGATGGGAAGTAGGATGGAAATACTATTTTCAGACTTCAGATTTCTATCAATTGATGGCATAAGATTTATAGCTTAGATTTTATTTCTGTTTTTGAAGTGACATGATGGGCCACAATTCTGCTAACTTGTACTTCAGAAAATGGCACCCAGATCCAGAAAAATTAAGGGAAGAAATTAGCTGTCACCGATCTTAGAAGAACTAGCTTCTCAGGGAAGACTGTCTAACCTGAAAAGAAAGAATATTGTGGTATCTTCAAAGACATTATGGCCTATGTTTTGTTAAAAGAAAAAAGTGCTTGTTTTTAAAAAAAATATTACTATATCAACAATTAGAAAAAAATGAAGAAATACAAAATACAAAACAATACCCTAAAGAAAAGGAATTAAAAAGGAAAAAATAAACACGTGCACATACATTAGAAAAAAACAAACTACACATTTCACAATAGCCATGTCAGTGTTTTAAACAATACATTAAGCCTTGTTCAAACAGAATAATATTGATCAGCCTTTCCCTCCGTCAATAAAGAGTCAATTCAAAGGCTGAAAGTCAGCACATAACTTCAACCCATGATTTTAAGTCCCAAATCATAGCATATTAATTATTATTTGGCTTCATATCCCACCTTTCATTCAGAATCTCAAGATAGTATAATTTAGCACTCCCATTTCTGTTTTCCCTCACAACAACCCTGTGAAATAGGTTTTATTTATTTATTCAATTTTGATGCTGCCCACTCCAACTGACTCTGGGTGGCTCACAGAATAAAGAACAACATAAAAACAATGAAGTATAATAAATTACAAAATAAATACAAAATAATTACAAGAGGGCAATCCAGACAACACATCAAAAGATATAAAAACAGCACAAGCAGGGGACTCCCATCCACGCTATCTCAAGGCCTGGGAGAAAAACCAAGTTTTCAGACTCTTTCAAAATGCCATCAGAGTGGGAGCAGTATAGATCTCAGGGAGGATCTCATTCCAGAGGACAGGTGCCACTACAGAGAAGGCACACTTCTTGGCTCCCAAAAGATGGCAGTTTAATTGAGAGGACTTGGGCACTTGATCTGCTAGATCATACTACCAGGCAGAAACTGTGGAAAACAGGCAGTCCCTCAAATAACCTGGCCGAATGCCACGTGTGGCTCTATAGGTCATAATCAGCACCTTGAATGGCACACCAGCAACCAGTGCAGCTTGCAAAGCAGGGGTGAGACATGGACATGCCAAAGCAGGCTTACTTCTGAGTGGTCTTCCAGGGAAGCCCCATGTAGAGTATGTTGCAGTAGTCAAGCTGTGAAGTGACAAGGGCGTGAGTTGGAGAGCTGCCTGATCCAGGGATGGGTACAACAGGCTGACTGGGCTAAGAAAGCGTGAAATTCCAGGGCTCAGACTTGAACCAGGGTTTTCCTGTTCCTAATCCAACACTATGCTAGCTCTTTCTAAAAAAACCCTCCAAAATAATATATTTGGCTAACCTCCAAGTTCATGAAATCCAAAGTTCTTTAAAACCCAATAAATGCAGTTTATATAGTTCAACATCACATTAACTTCTTTGAATCTTATTTTGATTTGCAAAATCATATTAATAGTGACTTGAATATCAACCCAAAATGAGCATACTAAAGAGCAAATTCCCTCAAATATACTATCTCCAGGCAAGAAAAGTTGACACCTAATTCTTCTTAATTAAACACTGAAGCATCCAATAAGCACAAAAAGAAGTTGGTACATGACACCAGAGAAATTGTCTAGAATGTATAAAGTCATTTCAAATGTATGTTGGAAACGTGAACAACATGAAGGGACATTTTATCATGCTTGGTGGACATGTAAAAAAGCTAAACATTTTGGATTCAAATACATACATTGATACAGAGGATTTTAAATATTAATATTCAATTGAAGCCAGATCTTTTCCTTTTAGGACTGATGGATAAACAGTCAGAAAAAACCATGGAAGATTATTTCAATATACAATTACTACAGCAAGATTACTACATGCACAAAGATGGAAAGATTCAGCATTACCCAACATGGAGGAATGGTTGGCGAAATTGACAGAACTTGCTGAGATGGACAAACTTACTTCTTTGATTAGAGAAAGGTCATTATTGACATTCATCAATGACTGGAAACCCCTTATGG